AGCTAGCTCTAACATTCTGTGTCCTCGAGGATCACAGAATAATATCAGACATGGACGCACAGGGAAGGGCCTTGGGTTATTACTAATTTTCCAACAGGCTGGGAGAAGGACAGCCTTGGTCCTCTGGGCAAACTCCCCGAAGCGCTGCATTTCTTGCTCTCTGTCTCCTCTTGCCTCAGGCACAGCAGAAGCTCTGTCCAGCTGCTCCAGGCCCTTCTGTTTCATTTCAACAATGGAGAAATAAAATCGTTGTTTGACACCTGACTTATTTTTTCCTTGGGGAAAGGAGACAGGTAGACAAAGTCTTTCAGACCAAGACATCGTAGGGGATAATGGACATCATGGGCCATGAAGCCTTACTACATCTTTGCATTCATGGTTGGTAATCCTTTCAAAGAACCTGTGTGGCAGGTACCCCCATACAAAGGTAAAAAAACTGAACATAGGTGACTTGCCTAGAGTCATATGGCTATTAAGTGGTAAGATCAGGACAAGATACTATTCCAACCCAACCCCTATAACAAAACCCCCGACTTCTGTGGGAAATTGTTAAAATGCAGATAGCTAGTAGAAATGCAGATAATAGGACTTTGGGGGCATTGCCCGCACCCATTACTCCCCTGTCCCTGAGCCACACTCCACCCACCAAAGCACAGGGATTAGTGAGTCTGGGTTTTTTCCCTGGCACCAAAGATGTGCTGTCTCTACCAACATCAATCAATTCTCCAACACCAACTGGGCGTCCTACAAGTCTATTCACTTCTGACGAGAAAACTTCAGAGTTAGTACAGACCCCACAGGTTAAGCTCTCAGTCCCACAAGACTGCCCCCTATTCGAGTGCCAGTCACGAGTCCCTGGGACCACCCATTCTTCTCCCCAGCCAGCTGTAAATTCAGAGCTTCCTTCACCACCGCTGGCCCAGGTTCCATAATTCATTAGAACGACTCCCAGAACTCAGGAAAGCACTTTACTTACCATTACCAGTTGATTATCAAGGATAAAACTCAGGAACAGTCAAATGGAGGGCTGTGTACGACAAGGGGTTGGGGGGAGGACTCAGAGGGTCACCCTCACAGCACCTCCACTTATCACCAACCCAGAAGCTCTCTGAACCCTGATATGTAGGAATTTTTGTCAAGGTTTCATTACATAGGCATAGTTGGTTAAATCTTTGGTCATTGGTGACTGAATTCTCTAAGTAGCCTCCTCCTCCTCCTCCCCAGAGGCTGGGTGTGGGTAGGGGCTGAAAGTCCCAACCCCCTGATAACCTGAGCAGTTTTTATGGACCCTAGACCCTCCAGCAGCCATCCAGGGGCTCCTTCCTGTGGCCATTCATTAGCATCCAAAAGACAGTACCTCCCAAGCGTTTCTAGAGTCTGGGCTGTAAGTGGGACAAAGATCTAAGAGTTATTTGTTTCATTATACTACTGTGCGGTTCAGGGGAGAGGCAGAAACCAGGAACAGGGAATCTCAGAGATGAGGCTCAGGTTCTGGTCGATGAGCATTAGGCAGGATAATGTTTTAAAAGCTGAAAGTGTGCTGATTTACTTTTTAGAGTCATGAAAAGTCCCTGCCATTAAAACTTCCTACCTTCCCTAAAGACATGCAGAGTGGTTTGGCTCCCCTCACAGAATTGCCCTCCTTTCCAGGCCCCAGCCTCGAGAGGATAGGTGAGCAGAACTTACTTGGGGAAGAGGTACTGATTTCATCCCCTGGGGGGTGCTGGCTACGAGGGGGCTCAGAAGAAGGAGGAGGACTGCAGGGAGACAGAAGGGGATCATCTTCAAAGCCTTTGGAAGGGCTCCTATGGAAACCTAGGGTCTGACAGAGCTTTTCACCTCCCAGCAGAGGGGTGGGGACAGCCAATGGGGAGGAAGGGGATTGGGAAAGGGAGAGGATTGGGGAAGGGGAGAGCCTGGGGTCAGTCCTGTTCATTGCGTAACCTCACCACCTCCCCAGGCTTCTGCCTGCAGGGGACAAAACGCTCAGTAAACAGCCTTCTCAAACTTTATCATGCCTGTGAGTCACCTGGGGATCTTGTTGAAATGCGGATTCCTTTCAGCAGGTCTGGGCTGAGGCTGTCAAGGAGAAGCTGCATTCCTTACAGGCTCACTGCTATAGGGTGTCCTCAGCTCCAGTTTCTTCCTTCTGAAATGGTCATCAGAACCACACTTGGGTTAATCAATTAAGAAGTTCTGACTGCTTTGACCAATGGCACATTAAATTCTAAGTAGGCACAAGTCATAAAAAGCCTTTAGGGCAATTTCCACTTTAAAGAAATCTTCTTGAGCAAGGAATAACAGATCAATAGCAGATGGGAATCTCTGAAGCCAAAGCTGGAAAGTTGGTGGGCGTGGGCCAAGCACCTTAGAGCTGTGAGAATGAAAGCTCACCACCTAAATCCAAGGTTCCTGTGCTAGGCTGAGTTGGTCCTGCCCATGTGCCTGGCCACAATAAAAACCCTAGACACTTGGTCTTCGGTGAGCTTCCCTGATAGGCAACACTTCAAATGTGTTGGGCTGGGGAAATGAAACACATCCTGTATAACCAGGCTGGGGGAGGGAAGCCTGTGCCTGATTTCCTCCATTCTTCACACCCTATGCTTTTCTCCTTTGTTAATTTTAATTTGTATCCATTTGCCGTAAACTTAACTATAACGACTTCTGAGTCCCATGAGTCCTTTTCATGAGTTGAATCTGAACACGGTCCTGGGGACTTCAAACACAGAGAATTTCCATTGCTATCTCCAAATAGAAACTGAAGTCCAGAAAGGTTAAAGAGATGGGCGGAGGTAGCACAGAATGTGAGTAGAAATGCTGATGTTTAAATTTGTCTGTCTCCAGTGGCCATACTTTTAACAACTACTAGAGGACAAGTGAAGATAATCGGACACAATTTATGCCTCTTAAGTAGAAAACTCAACAGTAGGGACAGAAAATTTATTAAAAGCATAATAGAAGAAAATTCCCTGCCCCATCCAAAATCTGTGTGGCGCCTGTGTGGCTCAAGTGCCCAACTTAATTTCGCTCAGGTCTTGATCTCAGGGTTGTGAATTCATTGCCTACAGCAGGCTCCAAGCCCAGTGTGGAGTCTACTCGTCTCTCTCCCTCTGCCTCTCCCCCCACCTCACGCCCTTCCTCTCTCTCTCTCTTTCTCAAATAAATAAAATCCTCTTGAAAATTTGTAGATTTGGCTGGGCGCCTGGGTGGCTCAGTGGTTTAAGCCTCTACCTTCGGCTCAGGTCATGATCTTAGGGTCCTGGGATCAAGTCCCACATCAGGCTCTCTGCTCATCAGGGAGCCTGCTTCCCTCTCTCTCTCTCTGTCAAATAAACAAAATCTTTAAAAAAAAAAAAATTGTAGATTTGGGGCACCTGGGTGGTTCAGTGGGTTAAGCCTCTGCCTTCGGCTCAGGTCGTGATCTCAGGGTCCTGGGATCGAGCCCCAAGTTGGGGGGGCGGTCTCTGCTCAGCAGAGAGCCTGCATCCCACCCCCACCCCCGCCTGCCTCTCTGCCTACCTATGATCTCTCTCTGTCAAATAAATAGATAAAATCTTTTTTAAAAATTTGCAGATTTTTAGCACTCCATGTCCCATTAAAAATAAAAAAAGGAAGCCTGGGTGGTTCAGTGGGTTAAGCATCTGTCTTCAGCTCAGATCATGATCCTGACATCCTGGGATCAAGTCCTACATCAGGCTCCTCACTCAGCAGGAAGCCTGCTTCTCCCTCTGCCTCCTCTCCCCATGTTTTTGCTCACTTTCTCTCTCTCTCTCTGACAAATAAATAAATAAAATCTTAAAAAAAAAAAAAAAGATGCAGAATGATACCAAAATAACATTGTTAATTTACTGGGTCTCAAAGAGAATCAAAGAAGTCTTTAGGCATTCAGGTAGGAAAAGCGTAACCCCTAAGGGAGAAAAACTTTCAGGCAACGTCTTAGCAATGCTCCATGGCAGAATTCAGTGGAGCCAGGTCTGCCCAGGTCCCAAGTTTTGGGAAAAGAAAACATAACCCAGGATTTTTTTACCCCATCAAATTTTCTTTCAAGTATTAAGGCAATATGCAAAAATTCTCAGAAAATAATACCTGCAAACTCTAATAGTTACTTTATGTGGTGGAAGTTCATTGTCCAATATGGTAGTCACTAGCCACATATGGCTGCTAAGCATGCAACATATGGCCAGTATGAATCATGAGGTGCCACAAATGTGAAATACACACCAGATTTCAAAAGCTTAGTATGAAGGAAAGTAAAATATTGCATTAGTATGTTTATTACATGTCGATTATACATTGCAATGGCAATATTTTGGATATATTAAGTTAAATTAAGTATTATTAAAAGTAGTCTTTGGGTGCCTGGGTGGTTCAGTTGGTTGAGCATCTAACTTATGATTTTGGCTAAGGCTGTGATCTCAGGGTCATGAGATCAAGCCCCACATCAGGCTCTGTGCTCAGTGAGGAATCTGCTTGAAATTCTCTCTCTCTCCCTCTGCCCTTCCCCCTACACACTCTGTCTCTCTAAAATAAATAAAGATTTTTTTTAAAAACTAGTCTTACCTCTTCTTTTTACTTTTTTAAATGCAGATACTAGAAAATTATACTGGAATGTATTTCATTATATTTCTGTTACACAGGACTATAGTAGAATTTGGGGAGGGATTTGCTTCTTTTTACTATTCACTATAGCTTGATATTTTTGAAAATAAGTATGTTGATTTATATAAAACAATAAACTCATTGTTTCTAAATTAAATAAATAAAGCAGTGAACAAAGAGCTATGTTTTCTCTCCTGGGATGTCGAGACAACTAGCTGGAAGGATCTGGATGGGAACCAGTAATAACAGAATGGAAAACAGCTAAGTTGGTTTCTTAGCGACTGTGTTGTCCAACCCACTTATTTTACAGATAGGGAAACTGAGGCCACCTAAAGTCACTTTAGGTGACTGAGGTCACCAGTCCAAGGTCACAGGAACTCAAGTCTGGAGTAGTAGGGACTGGCATTCCAGATGCTGCAAAAACACTGACTTAGGGCACTTGCCCAGTAGCCTCCAAGAAGCCCTTCAAGCCAAGCGGCAAGGCCTCCAGGTAGACACCCACTTCCTCTGGGCCCACACTCCTTGCCCAAGGTGCTTCCTCTTCCAGGTAATGAAAGGCCAGGTACTTCTCTCAACTCAGAGGAATAGGGCCCTTCTGCTTCAGTTGCAGGTATAACTTTAGCCTTTGGCCGGACCCTAGAAAACTCGGCTACTGGCACCATGAAGTTCAGACCGCTCCTTGTCTTCTGCGTCCTCTTCTGCCTGGTGAACATCACCAGCTCAGGTGAGCTGAGAGGTTAAGTAGAGGATCCCTAAGATCCACAGCCTGTGACTGGGGTAGGGGAGGTATAGGGTGGGGAGGCTGGCTCCACAGGGCCACCTGGTCACTTCCACCTCAGGTGGAAACCAGGGCCTAGGCCCGGGAAGAGGCTTGTCTATCTGGGGTCAGACCTCACAGAAGTCTATTTGATTGAATTCAATCCTCAGCAAATTTAATTTTTATTACAAAGCAATACATGTGTTGGTCTTAAAAAGACAAACAATATGGAAATGTGTGAAGTTAAAAGTGGGTCCCCTATTTTACAGAGCCCAAATAATCATTCTTCTTCTCCTTCTCCTTCTCCTTCTTCTTCTTTCCTTTTTCCCAAATAATCCTTCTCTCCAGAATCATCCTACTCCCTGGATTCTTATGAGAAAAATAAATCTTCATACTGCTTTAAAAAGGAGGTCAGATTCTGAAACTTGGCTGTACTCTGGAGTCACCTGGGGGCTACCTGGGTCCCACATTCCCAGAATCTGATTTAATTAGTCTTGGGTAAAACCTGGGGATTGAAGAGGATTCTAATGTTCCACCAAGATTGAGAATTGATGCCCTAATGAAAGACCTTGAATTCCCTTTCTAGAATTCTAGCTTAGGGTTCTCCCAGGAAACGCAGCATGTCCTATCAATTGAAGATTCCCATAAAATGGTACCATGGAGCAGAGTTGACCATGGACTCATTGTCTGAGGGATGCTATCTTTGTCAGGGAGTGTACATATCAAGGCAGGGTGTATTGTACCCCATGAAAGGATACGTTGGGATCCATAGCCAATTAGTAGGTAAGGGTATGTGTGTGTGTGTGTTTCTGTGTCTGTGTGTACACGTATCGGATAAATCACTTGTGATAACCAGAGCCAGATGTGAAAGGAGTTAAAATAACAGATGTTTCAGTAAAATATATCCATTTCTTTATTTTTTCATTATTCATGGATACTGAAGATTTTTTACTGTAAATATCTTTTTCCTACTTATAGAAAGTGATACTTGTTCATTGACATTTAAATGACACTAAAAATTATTAGAACATAAAAATCATTTGAAATTACACCACCCAGGAAAATTACTACAAATATAGAGGTGAACCACCTTCTAGTCATCACTACATGGGTTTATAGATTTATTTTACATCAACAGGACCATTCTAGATCCTGTCTTTTGAAATTTGATTTTTGTTCCACAAAATTATGAACCTCCCTCCATTTGATCAGCACTATGTGTATCAATGACTATATGTAACCTATCAATTCCCCGTTGATGAACGTCTATATCTTTTCCAAATTATATGCTTTTTTGCAATCATAAACAAAGCTACCTCAACTATCTTGAGTTGGGTTATAAGAAACTGTAGCAGGCAGAGTCTGGGACATGATATCGGAACTGGGTTTAAACCCCAGGCCTCAATGATTGGTTTTAGGAGTTTTGGAAGATGACCAAACCTCTCTGAAACTGTTTCTTCATTTGTGGGGGAGGGACAGTAATGTCCACTCCAGAAAGTCATTTAAAGCATGCAAAAAAAATGGCAAGCACTAGCACAGTGCTTGGTGTAGAAGGTGTGCTTCTAAACAAAAAAAACTAACAGCCTGTGTCAGTTCCTTCAAAGGACACCTAAGTGACAATACATGTCCTTCCTCATCCCTGCAGCCCATCTCAAGAAAGGGGCTCCCTGGGAGCTGTCCCAAATTCTGCCTGCCCTGTGCCAGCTCCCCCCAGTGAGGGGTCCCTGCAGAGGCCTCTTCTACCGGTACTTCTACAACAACACGTCCAGTGAGTGTGAGCGTTTTACCTACAGTGGCTGTCAGGGCAATGCCAACAATTTTGAGACCACGGAGATCTGCGTGAGGATCTGTAAGCCCCCTGGTGAGTCAGTCCTCTTGTAGAAACAGGAGAAGCAACGCTGGTGACTGGGGCAGGGGGTGCTCGCGGGAAGGGAGATGGCGTGGTGGAGGATGGTGGTGATGTCCTGATGATGGTATTGTGCGAGGTGATGGGGACGGAAATAATCAGATGCATCACTGAGAGGCACCTGCGTGTTTGGCAATGGGGGTGCTGGGGAGGAGACAGCAAGGATGTGGTTGATGGTGGTTTGGAGGGTGAAGATGAAAGCAGTTTCGGTGAGGAGTGAGGCTTTTCATGTAAGTGGTGGTGTTGGCCACAAGGAAGATACTTGTGTAAACTTCAAGGGGATGATGGTGTTGACGGAAATGATGGTGTTGGTGGTGGTGATCAAGGTGGGAGGTGAGAGAGCTGAGGAGGCTCCCGGGATGGTGTTTTTTGAAGGCGCTGGCTAAAGAGTCCAGCTGATGGCTCTGGCCCTAGGTCACCAATATGCCGGCCAAGAAAGAAACTGACTGCCGTCTCCATTACAGAGATGAGGTAAAAGACAGCTGAAGACCATGCCTGCATCCTCCCAGCCTTGTCTGAAAGCTACTGGGCCTCCCTTCCTGGGCTTGGTCCCTGCTTGGAACACATCCTGTTACCCTTCAGGCCTGGATCAATAAAACATTCAAAGCTGGTGTGGCCTGAAACTTTCCTATGAGGGTCCTGGGCCTGTCCTCATGAATTACTCACAACCACCTCAGCTCTCAAGGGTGACCAAACCTGCCTCACCCTTACCCCTATCCCCTCAGGCCCTCATTGTCCTGTGCTCTCAGAAGAAGACTAAGGACTGGGGTGGCTGGGTGGCTCAATTGGTTAAGTGCCCAACTCTTGGTTTCGGCTCAGGTCATGAGTTCAGGGAGATCGAGCCCTACATTGGGCTCTGTGCTCAGCGTGAAGTCAGCTGAGATTAAATCCCTCTCCCTCTGCTCCTTCCCTGTTTCTGTGTGCTCTCTCTTTCTCAATAAAATAAATTTTAATAATATTAGAAGAAGGAGGAGGAGGAGAACGAGAAGAAGAAGAGGAAGAAGAAGAGGGGGAAGAAGAAGGGGGAGGTGGTTGAAGACAAAGGACACAAGTTTCCTACCACCAGGGAGGCATGGAAGCCAGACTCAATGCAAATTTGGGGACCTTGCACGTCTGTCTCCAAAGCCCGGCCACTTGTTCCTTGCTGCCTAGGGCTCTGCTAATAGGTCTACTTCTACTCTTCCTGTCCAGCAGGAGATATATCCTAGAGGGTGGAAAGGGCTAGAAAGTCAGGGAATCTTGGTCACCCAGGTGGGAATTTCCCTCCATGCAGAGGGATCTCAGAAAAATGAGGATTTTATATATTCTTTTAATTGTGGTAAAATATATACAACATAAAATGCACCATTTCAGGGTGGCTGAGTAGCTCAGTCATTAAGTGTCTGCCTTTGGCTCAGGTCATGATCCCAGGGTTCTGGGATCGAAGCCTGCATTGGGCTCCCTGCTCGGAGGGAAGCCTGCTTCTCTCTCTCCTGCTCCCCCCGCTTGTGTTCCCTCTCTTGCCGTGTCTCTCTCTGTCAAATAAATAAATAAAATATTCAAAAACAAACAAACAAAAAAGCACCATTTTGCCCCTTTCTAAGTATATGAGTGGTCTTAAGTATACTCACATTGTGGTGCAAGCATCGTGACAATCCAGTTCCAGAACATTTTCAGCTTCCTAAACTGAAACTTTGTGCCCATTAGAACTAACTCCCCTTCTCCATCCCCTTCCCCAGGCCCATGCCATGGCCATTCTACCTTCTGTGTCAATTAACTGACTACTCCAGGTACCTCATATGAGAGGAGCCATACAGTAGTTATCCTTTGGTGCCTGGCTTATTCCAGTCAGTGTAATATTTTCAAGGTTCATCCCTGTGGCAGCCTCTGTCAGGATTTCCAAAATATTCTAGAAAAAAAAGAATATTCTGTTGTTACATAATTTTTGGAATGCTGGATGGCTTCTGCCCTGACCATCGCTGCCACCTCCCCCACAACCTTCTCCTGCTGCCCTACATGTAGTCCAGCCACGTCCCCTTCCTTGAAAGAGACACTGCTGCCCAGGACCAAACAGCAATACTAAAATCCAGAACCTGGGATTCCCAGACTAGACCCCTATCTTTGGTGATGTCATTCGTGTCCTCAGTGTGCCTGTCCCAAAAATATATCTATTTGAGAGAAAAGGTATGTTTCCCCTTTAATTTCCCCATTCTCTTTCATGTTCTTAACTATCTGAGAGATTGAGGTCTGGAAGACTAATTGAGGACAGCCTTTGACTGATATTTGAAGTTGTGTCTATGCTCTAAAATGTAGACATTTAAAAAATACGATTATTACAAATAATTTTAAAGTAAAAAATATAAATACATACGCGACTCAAGAATTTAATCAGTTGCTTAGATCGTCATGAGATGGGACAGTAACTGAGCACCTTTGTGTAAGTCATATTAACCATGCTTTTCTCTCCTTTCCCTGGGTTTCCTGGATCGCAGCACTTATTCCAAAGTGTTTTAAGTGTATTTTTTTTATCTCTGCCTCTGGGCCGTGAGCAGCGCAGGGACCGTGTGGAATGCATGTTTTGTAAAGAACTTAACATATAGTAAGCAGTTAACCAGCAAGCACTGAATGAATCAATAATTTGCGACTTCATTCTTGACTGCATGGGTTCGTAGAAACCACATGAAGCCACACCCAATCCAACGGTCTGTCCCAGACTCAACCACCTTCTCCCCTTCTGCTGGGATCAGTCCAGGCTGCTCTTCCTGATACTCACCTCCTCGCTGGCCTCCCAGTGTTTGTTCTTACCTCCCACAGTCTGTTCTCTTCACAGCAGCCAGAGTGATCCTTTAAACAGCAAATCCTTTGCTACCACGTGCTAGTTTTCCTGTTGGAGGGTAGGTTCCTGGGTCCTTACAGCACTGAAATATATGCATGAGCAGGTAAGTAACACACAAAACAGGCCACACGTGGACCAATGATGAGAGAATGATGAAGCAAGAATTATTAACCTAACATACATCAGAAGGCCAGAAAAGTACATAAGCAAATAAGCAAATGCAAATCTGATAGTGTCCTCGCCTCCAGGGCTCTCTTCCTCTTGCCCCGGCCAACCTGTGCAAACTCACCCCAACCCCACCCCATCCCCAGCTCCAGCTACTGGGACTTCCTTGTTTTGCAGACACACTCGGTGAGCTCTTGCCACACGGTGGTTGCTCTTGCTCTTTCACTGGATTTCATGTGATTTTCTCCTTCACTCTGCTTGGATCCCTGATCATTCTTCACCTTCTTAGAGGTCTTGACCATCCATTTCCTGTTCCCACTGCTTTCCTTTTCTTCGGGGCCATAGCACTACGAGGACATAGTGGGATTACACTATATACCTTTTAGTGCAGCCAAGCTTTTGTCTGTCTCCCTAGCTAAACTGTAAGCACCACAAGGCAGGGATTTCCTTTCTTGTTCACTAGTGCCTAGAGGAGTACTGGGCACAGGACAGATACCTGACACGTATTTGCTGAATGAGTAGACAGATGGATAATAGAAGTGCCAGACAGGCCAGAGGTTAGGTGAGTGAGTGAATGAATGAATGAGCATACAGCCTCAGTGAGGAAGTGAGAATGGTCACAAAAGCGTTCATGGAAGGAGCTCGAGGTCAGGGATAGAGACAGGGGGGCATGAAAGGGAAGAGCAGGCGCTGAGGCAGGGAAGCCGGAAAATGCAAGGCTGATTGACTTTGCCTTCTTCTCCTGCTTCCCAGCACCCCTAGCTCAGGATGGGGGGCTCCATCTCTCAACCCAGTTCTCAGTGTGTGAACAACATGCCTGTCCCACTGTGGGTCCACAAGGCTGAGGCCTCCCTGCCACCTCTCCAGATCCTGGTCATGGGGGATGGGGAAGGGGGTTGGGACCTGGGTGCCCCACTGCTCCTCCCTGAGCCCTCTGAACGCACCAGGCAGGCAGGCAGTAAACCTCTCTGGGCAGCTGTTGCAAAGCCTGCCTGACCCCCAAGCCAGCTGTCTCCCAGCCTTCTTCTGAGAGGACCGGCCCTGCCGTGTCCCAGAACTCTCCTGATCCCTGTGCAGTGACTGAGTGAGAGTAACAGTGATAGTTGGTCACAAGGAACTGTCCCTGGTGTTGAAGGAAAACTGGGAAAGGAGACTAGTACTTCTGGGCAGTTTTGCTTGTGCAAATCTCCTTCATCTACTCACTCACTGCTTTTCCCGAGGGAGCCCTCAGAGGACAGAAGTTCCCTTTTCTACCCCCGGTGCTATGCCCACTGCAGCTCCACAGACAGCCGTGTGAGGGGAAAGCAGACCTCACAATGCCTGGGGGCCCTGACTAGCCTGGCCTTCAGCACCTCTGGCCCTCCCCCTGGAAATGCCCAGGCCCTGAGTGCATGGACTAGGGAAAATGGTCCTGGTGCAGGCACAGCAAGAAGTTCAGGGCTTAGAACCCCGATGCTTGGGTGACCTGGCTTGCTCAGCAGTGAAAGTACTGCGTGATACTGGTACATTCATGCACTCGTTCCCTCGGCAATTACTGGAATGCAGACCGCATACCAGGCTCTGTTACAGACACTGAAGCCACAAAAGACAAAAATCTTCGTCCTTATGGAGCTTCATAATGAATAAACAAGATAAGAAAGACATGTTGCACGTTGATGGTGGTGAGAGCCATGGAGGAAAAGAGAAGGTCAAAGGAGGGAGCTCGTCGTAGGGGGCGCGGTGATTTAAACAGGTGTGGCCAGGAAGCCCTCATCCACAGATGGCGCAGGAGGGGGGGTGGTGAGAGAGGAGCCGGCTTCTGGATTTACTTTGAAGGTAGAGCAGAGCTGTCAACAGAGCGCGCCAGGTGAGCGAAGGTGAGCGAACAGGTGAGGGAAGCACCCAGGATGGCTCTAGGTTTTTTGGCCTGGGCGACCGGGATGATGGCCGACCACCCATGCGTGTGTTGGGGATAGTAGGGGAGAGGGTGCGGACACTTGGCTTGGGAGATACTAAAGCTAGATGTTCATTAGATGTCCCAGTGCAGCTGGCAGGCGGGCAGTGGGGTAAATGAATCTGGAATTCAGGGAGGGGCACGAGACATGGTGTTGCCAGTGCACAGATTACGTATGATGTATGACATACGTCGTGGCAGCGGAGGTGGCCCCAGTGCCCGCCCAGCTGGGGGTATAAGGCACAGCCAGGCCACAACTCCATGCTCTCCGGACGTGGCAGGCGTCCTGCTCCGTGCGGGAGCCTCGGATATCCACCTGCCCACCGCATGCTCCTCATTTACACCCTGCCTATTCGTGCCTGGAAGAAACTCAAGAGAAAGCATCTTGACCAAGTTGCCTTTGCCTGTGGGCTAGATGAGCTCATCACCTCCTTCCTACACACACGTCCCTCGTACGTCCTGGGAGCTCTTGGAAAACCCTCAGAGGCGACCTACCAATCCCATTTATGCTGGCTGTGAGGATGTTGCCAGTACTATTGTGCTCAAGACTCTGCCCTCGTACTCGTGGGGTTTCTTGGTGCCCCTTGCCCTTCCCATTCCTACCCTTGAACTCCAGATCCCACGCCAGAATAGCCTATACCCAGTCATACATACATAATGTCCTAAGCTGGATCTGGTCCAGACGGAAGACAGCCCCTGTGCCTCCAGGGAGCTTAGAGTTCAATGGAAGTTAAAGAACAAGAACAACGAGGATGAAAGGAACCTGTAAAGATTAAGTCCAGGGAGCTCTGGGAACAGAGGGAAGGGGCACCTACAGCAGCTTGGTGTATCAGGGAAGACTTCCTGGAGGAACCAACTCTCTGGTTTCTAAGAGTGGCTTTAAGAGTGAACCAGACAGTAGAGGACAGTCTCTGGTTGGGGGAACAGGGCATTCTAAGCCAAACCGTTATATGGATGAGAGAGTTGGGAAAGGGATGGGCAGATGGTAAATACTTATTACACTTAATGCCAAGTGTGCCAGAGGCAGAGACAAAAGATGTGGGTGGGGAGGGGCATCTGCCTAAGGACCTACCACAGGAATCCAGGGTTTTATAACCAGAAGGGGAGGTGGGCAGGGGCAGGCCTTGATCCAGTGGACCTGGCTTCAACGCCTGTGGGAAGTCTAAGGAACCACCCAGAACAGAAGCTCATGAAAAGCCTGACAGAAATTCCATGTCTGGGCTACACTCAGACCAACTGAATTCACAGGCTCTAGACCCCAGAAATCTGCATTATTTTCACAAGCATCTCAGGGGATTCCAGGGCACAACACAGAAAACCAACACATGAAGCTCTTCCCCCTCCCCAGCTCTACCCCTGGTGATAGGGCACTGGTTCCCAGGGCTCCTGCGAGGCAGGAGGATGGTTCATGGTCATGGTCATGGTCATGGATACACTTCTATAAATGCTCCCGGCCAAACCCAGGGAGCTCTGGGAATCACCAGTGAGGAGGAAGCAAGAGAGAAGAAGGAATTTTTAGCAGGAGGAAGAGGAGCTTTGTCTTTTGGGGTTTTGGGGGGCAGTGTAGGAAGTCTTATGCAGGTGCCCAGGAAACAAGCCCTAGCTCCCTCTTCCTGGGCCTCAAGGACAGGAGGCAAAGAACCAAGGAAGCCGCTTTTATTCCACAACTGGTAAGTCCCAGATACCACAGAGATACAAGTTCTTCACAGCGTATCTGGGTCAATGCTGTCCTAGAGCTTTCTGCTGTGATGGAAACGTTTGTCCACACTGTCCAAGAGAGCAGCCACGAACCACTTTGGTTACTGAGCACTTGAAATATGGCTGGAATAGCAGAGGAAATGAATTTTTAAATTACTTTAAATTCAAATGCCACACCTGGCTCAGGGCTACTGAACTGGACAGCACTGCTATGCTGTCCTCAGCCAGGGTCAGTTTGGTTTACAAGCCAACTCTGGAGAGAGCAAGTGGCAGAAAGAGCCCTTGGGGCCACCAGCAGCCCTCCCCAGGGAGCAAGAGCAGCCCCACTGCGCAGGGGGCAAATCTCAGAGTGGGGGAACACCACGGGCACGCCGGATGAGGTTGGCCAGCCGCTTGGCCAGGCCACCCGTGCTGGGCTCCTCGATGTGGAAGGTTCTGGTGAGGAGATTGTAGAAGGAGCCATAGCACACGGCCACCACAGTGCATGTGAGGCAGATGACGTTGTAGGGCATGCTGAAGTCCGGCGTGGGCAGGTTCACCAGCAGCGGCTCCGTGTACAGGCGCACAAAGTAGCTAGAGCTGTCGGAGACCGGGTACCTGGGAGTCAGGAAGGAGAGGTGAGCGAGGCAGGCCTAGGATGCTCCCCCTGCCAGCCCACCCCGTCGCCTCTCCAAGCTGCACCGGGCCCATTCCTGGTGGAAAGGGTATGCAAAGCCTTGTCAGCCTCAAAACCTTTTTGACAGAAGACATCTCAGGTCAACACAGAAACGAGACAACACGAGAACCTGATCAAAGGTGAGCAGCCTTGTGCTGAATGAAGGGAGGGACGGGGCCCTGCCTTTGCTCGCTGCTTCTTCCTTAGCCTCTGGTCTCTGCCTTGAGGCTGTCTCCTCAGAGAAGCCCTCCTGGATAAGGCCCTAGATTACTTCCCAGCACCCCTGACCCCATTACCCTAGACCAAAATCTCCCCTCCAGCCTCTTTACATGAGTAGGAGAGGGGCAAAGCTGTTCTGTGTCCTTTTGTACACCCAGTACTCTCTGAAGAACCTGGAATTCGCTAAGCACTCAGTGAAATATTCGTGACGAGAAACAATGAGTACATGCAGGCTCTAAGTATAGCTCTTCTTGCCTCTTTCTTCTTCTAGAACCACTTCAGAATCATTTCCCAGAGTCTGGACAAATATCATAGACCACTACGATTTTTACTGGGATTGAGTTAACTCAGCACATTGCTCTAGAAGGGGCAACACCCTGCCTTGACCTGGTCACCCACGTGGCTGCCCACCCCAAAACTGGCGGCAGAGGTCATACTTACAGGGACCTGAAGAGGGGGCTTTCCTCCCAGTCCACAGGCTTGGCTGCCACCATGCTGGGCACAAGGGCACTGAGGACAGATGGGCTGTGGAGAGGCAGAGGGGCATCGGTGTGTGTGGCTCCCTCATCGGGGTGAGTGGCATGGCGGGCAGCCGGGAGGCTGGGGGCAGACTATGAGGGGAGCCCACCTGACATAGAAACCGTGGTTGGGGTCCGGGGTGTACTCAGTCCACTTGAGCAGCGCCCGCTCAAACTGAATGGAGACCTTGGTGGCCGAGTTGGCCGGCAGCTGGATCAGCATCTCCAGGAGGTGTGGCTGTAGCCGGTCCTGCGCGGGCTGGTAGTGGACGTAACCTGGGGACAGACAAGGGTCACCCACCCCTTTCTGCGGCCGTCACACTACCCGCACCCTCATCCCTACCCCTTGAGGCCTGAGGCTCTGGGTCACAGGAGCCAGGCAGGATCAGGGAGGGGAGCAGGGTCTCGGGAAAGGGCAGCTGTCCTAAGGGCATGTTCAACCCAGTTAATCCTTCCATCACAGAAACTGGGGTGCCCAGCATCAGGTGCCTCATGTGGCGCAATGGGAAGTTCACAGAACCACCAGGAAGTTTCCTGGCCAAAATGTGGAACCTGAATCTAATCAAGTTTCTGTATCTAACCACCAACACCCCAGAAATGCAGGGGAGAGAAGGGCCCGTTAACCACAGGCCCAAGGAGAGATTCAGGGTGTAGAACATTCCATTCCATACAACAAATGACCAAGTTTCTTCACAAATAGATTCAAAAAGAGAGAGAGAGCAGGAACTGCTATAGATTATGAGACTTAAAAGCAAACAGCCCAATGCAAGATGTTGTTCTTGGGGAACCTGAGTGGCAAGAGAGGGAAGAGGACACAGAACTCTGTGCTTTCTGTTCGGCTTTCTCTAAACCTAAAACCGCCCTAAGAAAATGAAATCTATTAACAAGATAAGCAAATGCAATATGAGGACCCTGTTTAGTTCTAACTCAAATAAACTATCAAGTGTTACTGTTCACTGGGGCGAGTGGGCATGATAAGGACGGGCTGTGTTTTGGGGAGGCCCTCTCCCTGTTAGAGACATAGACCAAAGCACTGAAAGGTGGATCTGACATCTAGGATCAAAAGAAACTCCAGCAGAAAAGTAACAAAACCAAGAAAACGAATCAAGGGCAGAGATGACACACGGAGCGGGGGAGCGAGAGACGGAAGCCAGCCGCGTGGGAATGTGTCACGCTCCCCCACGTGGGTGTGTGCTTGACACTTTCCAGAGCCAAAGGTTAAAAAACAAACCAGAAAAGCCTACAAAATACAGGCATAAAGGTTCGAGAAGATTCTGAAGGGGATGCAAACAGTGGTGCTGAAGGTAAGGAGAACAGCCCAGGTCGGAAAGTACAGGCAACGAGAGGGGTGGTCACGGACGGCGAGTCTAGGTGTTTGGAATGTGCCAGAACCTCTTCCTGACAAGTCTTCTGGGTTAGGTCTCCCTCCACTCCAAACCACAATGGTTTTAGCACTATTCCTGCCACCTGACAGAAAGCACACAGTAAATACTAACTCCTCTTCAGAAAAAGCGTGGCAAATAAAAATAAATTTTTAAAAACGCCTCTTTACCCCTCCCGAAGAGGCAAAAACCATCTACTCCAGCTTTATCTTTTCGGTTTCCGATACCGTTTTCCTTGCTGCTAACCCATTCTCCACTGTAGACCTACGAATCTGCACAAAAGGACATGCCCGGGACACCAAAGAAGAAAGGGCAAAGAAATAAAAAAGTCAGGAAATCACTGCTCTCACGAAGTCCTCTTAAGAACCCCCAGTCCTGTGGCTCCTGGGTGGCTCAGTGGGTTAAGCCTTCGGCTTAGGTCATGATCCCAGGGTCCTGAGATCGAGCCCCACATTGGGCTCTCTGCTCAGCAGGGAGCCTGCTTCCCCCTCTCTCCCTGTTGCTCTGCCTACTTGTGGTCTCTCTCTGTCAAATGAATAAATAAAATGTTTTTAAAAATTTTTTAAAATTTTAAAATTTTTAAAAATAAAAAAATAAAAGAACTCCCAGTCCTGTGTGTTTTAACTATCTCTGCTTTATAAATTACTTCCAGGTCTGGCACAGTAGGGCTAACCCTCCCCACATTTCAAACTCTTCTAAATTCTGCCTATGTGCTTTTTTGAGGTATGTGAGGAATTACTGCCCTGAGAACGGGGGGCCTGGAGGACTTGGGGGGAGAACAAGACAGGGCAGGGGAGGGGTGGTGGCTGCGGGCCTTGGCTCTCACTCGGTTTGTTCTCCTTGCCCTTGGAGGTGATGGTGAGGGTGTGCACGTAGAGCCGCAGGTACCAGGGCACAGTGTCCAGCAGCAGCACGGGGAAGGCCCGGTATGGGTGAGTGTTGTACAGAAGCGTGTTCAGCTCCCCGCTCTGCAGCCCGTAGCCACTCACGTATCGCTGGGCGTGCAGGAACGGCGCCGGAGGGGCCTCTGTGAAGACAAGTCCACGATTAAGAGCTTCTAAAGGAAAGGGTCACTCTTCATCCCCGCTTCCCTGGTCACATCCAGAGTCTCACAGCCAGGGAAGTGACGGGAGGCGACGGGGAAGAGCGTGGCCACCAGACCTGGGAAGCGTGCATCCCGGAATCACTCCTGTCTTCCCCGGCCCACAGCATGACAGAATCACTCTTCTGTACTAAGTACCCGTATGTGCCAAGCCCTGTGCCCCTCCAACCCAAACCAGGTGCCCTCATGATAGTCTGCACTTGACCTCGAGAACACTGAATGCGATAATTGTTTCAGACCTGCCTCAGTCGACAGACATTACGTCTCCTGAATGCAGGATATCTTCAGTCTTCAAAAAATATTTGCTAATAATTAAATGAATGTGTGAATAAACTCTGTGTTTTGCATTAATAATCTCATCCAATCTGCTGGGTAATTATGTCCCCATTTTCTAGATGAGGCGGTGAGGTTAGGAACCTGCCCAAGGTCACAGAGCTTAGAAGATGTGGAGTTAGAATCAAGACATCGACTCAGGACCTAGGTCGAACCACACGCCTCGCATCCCAAGGTACGAGTCTCCCCTGAGACGGAACGCCCCGTAGCCGAGGGCCCTGCCGGCCCATGAGCACCCACCATGCTCGGGAGGGCTCCGCCACTTGAGCTGGAGGTTGAGGTTACGGGAGTTGTTGATCACAGCTGTGTCAAGCAAGTCGTAGACGGCGTAGGTCTTCCGGGTCCCCAGGGTGACGTCCTGGTATGTGGTGGTTGGGGCCGGGTTCACCTCCAACGTCTCATTGTTCTGGGGGCAGAAGGGCAGGGCTGCGAAGTGAGCAGAGGCGCAGACTAGCCTTGGTTGGAGGGGGGCGACTACGACTGGAGACGCGGGTACCTGGTTGTGGCTGGTGATGTCCACATAGACTCGGCTCTCTGACGCCAGGGGACAGGGCTCTGTGAGGGTTCGGGAGAACATCCGGAAGAGGGACCAGTCTGAGGAGCAGAGAGGAGGGTTGAGCGGGGCTGAAGACTAGGCCTGGTCCGCAGACACAGGGTGGGACCCGTGACAGAGGGTAGCCAGCAAGTTGCCGAGGCAGCCTACCTTTCTTCCCCTGTCCTGTGACAAAGGCATCGTACACCACGGAAAGGGTCTGCCTCAGCTCCCAGGAGATGCTGGTACAGCGCGCATTCTACCAAAAGGGCCAGACAGCAGCAGTCAGGACGCACCCATCCCCACCCCCCACGCACCGCTGCAGGGACTCCTACCTGGGCTTGTCCCTTGTCTGTCATGTCCCCTCCCACCCATCCACTTGCTTCCGTTCACTAGTGAGCATGCGGCCCTGTGCCAACAGCGGGATGTGCACTAGCCGGAGAAACCGCCACCGCCACCCACAGGCACTGGCACTCCTGTTATTCTCACTTGACAGATGTCGAAATCAGGCTCAGGGAAATGAAACGATGTGCTCGAGGTCATGCCCGCGGAGTGACTGGGCTGGCCGCTGCACGCACAGGTTTGTCCTCCACCACGATGCCCCATGACACGGATTTACTGAACGCTTGCCAGGCAGCCACTCCATTTCCACGGTGTGTGCCAACACCCCAAATAATCGGGATCCCAGCTAACGCTACTGGCGTGGCCCGCAAAACACACCAGGCTACGTGCTTCATCGGCATGTTCCCTCAGAGCCGCCTGAGGGCACCTGCCCCCCCCTCCCATGACTTACTCTGCACACAGGACGGATGTGCACCGCCTGGGAGTGGTAGCTGGTATGGAACAAGCGGTCAGCCTTCAGCAGCACAGACAGGCCTGCCTGGAGGAAGCAGGAAGAGAGGAAGAGTCAGGGCCCCTCACCGTGGGACACCTGCGCAGGGGCCTGGAAGTCAGGCAGGGAAGCGGCGGGTGCTCAGAGCGCTCTGGCCTCACCTTGGAGCTACAGGGCAAGAGCTTCTTCCAGGGGGTGAGATTCTCCGTGCAGACGACCTCCCGCGGCAGCACAGCGTAGCGCAGGAAGGAATGATCAGTGCCTGAGGGAGACACGAGTCTGTCTGGGGTGGGCCCTTCGGCCCAACAATTCAGGACCCACACTCCTAAGACAATGGGGGAGGACCCCCTCCTGCTTGCCATGCAGCTCTCCAGTACCACCACCCTAATGGTGCTGGCTGGGGGTGGGACCCCTCCACCCTTCCCCTCCTTGGGAGAAGGCAAGTTAGAGACAGCATGGTCTCAGGAAGCCTTCCTCCGGGGTCTGCACACCCAGGGGATTTAGGATCTGGCTCAGCTGAAGGAGGAGGAAGCTGAAGATAAAAGGAGGCAAACGTTCGGGCAAGAGGGAGAAGGAAAGGGCCACGGGGCTATCTCACCATTGGCCAGCCCCAGAGGTTTGAAGGAGGCAGTGGGAGTGACCGTGTTGGTAGAATCGATGAAGTTCAGAGAGGCGCAGAAGATCCCCGAGAGGACATTACTGAGCTCCTTCCAAGATCTATCCACACTGGATGGAGACACAAACCCACTCACTGGCACTGGGCTTCCTCCCTCCGAGCCTGCACTTGACAGACTGGCTAGCTGATGCAGCTGCCGTGCCCCCCCCCTGCCCTGCTCAGCTGCCTCCTGGGTCTCGCCCTACCCACCCCTTCCTCCTTACTCTCTTCTGGACATCCTGGCATCCCCAAAGGTCTCTGCTCAGGTGACTCTTCCTCCTGCCTGGCAATGCGGTACTCACCCCTCTCCACCCACAGTCAAAGAGGCTCCCTCCTCTAGAAAGACTTTCCAGCCTTCCACACCCACAGCCTCCTCCTGTGCTGCCATCTGACTATCCGAGCCTCTCCTGAGGTCCCCCCTGGGACATGTCTAGGGAGCAGCAGCCTCTTGTTCTAAGCACCTCTTCTCCTCAACTAGGCTGTGAGCAACCTGGGGATGGGGAACAAGTTTGGGTCACTTATGTATATCCCACAACACCACGTAAAGTGCCCACATCTTCAGAGGCTTAGATCAGCCTGCTGATCCACTCTGAGGTGTGCCCAGCTAGGCAAAAAAGACACACACCCTGGCCATGAAAGTAAGTCCTGCCTCTACCCTCAGAGCAGGAAGTCCTACATCCATAAAGGCTCACTGAACAAGGGAAAACCACCATTCTAGTACCCTACAAAAATATCAAATTAAATTGAAAGAAAAATATCACAACAGATTTGCTCTCCATATTAAGAACAGAAAGTATAAAATCAAAATTCTAAACACCAGCTCCATGTTACAGAAAATTATGAGCTGAGGGGAGACAGTGATAGCCAGGCAGAGGGGGGCATTGGGGGGGAGGGGGACAAAGGAGTTAGAGTTCAGGCAAAAAAGAAAGATTCAGCAAATATAGAAGTCACAGCTTGCACCTCATTTGATATCATCTTAGCATTGTCCTGGGGTTTTTTGATAACCCTCTGTTCAGAGCTTTTCAATTGCTCCAATAGTTAAGCCTCATGTAAAGACTGCAGAGTTGAAGCTTGAAAGCTCTATACAAGCTGTAATTATGTTTCCTGTGGTGAGGACAACACTGACCCAAGCCGCTTTTCTTACATTTTGAAATTACTGACTGATATTTAAGTTTGCCAATTTTCACACTAAGATCCAGATTTCTGGCATCTCTTGAAAATGAGATTACTGATGATAGTAGGCCTCTATTCCCAGATGGCCACAATCCACTGGGGATGAGTGACAGCTGTCCTCTCAAGCTCTCTAGCCTGCTACAGTCCCCACCACTCCCTATTATGTCCCCCTTTTAAAATCATGTTTGTCCTACAGATTTCTCATAGTGGGATTAAGAGCAAATTGTGGTACAGCAGTGGTACCTAAACCTGTCCCTCTCCCAAACAAAAGCTAGTCCTCCAGTGCCGAGATCTGGGATCCTGTAGGTCAATTCTAGCCCACAGATGTTTTGTTTGGCCCTCATGGTACCATCATCATCATCATCATCATCATTATGTGAATGTCTTTTAAAAGGTTATCCAGTGGGCACCTGGGTGGCTCAGAGGGCTAAGCCTCTGCCTTCGGCTCGGGTCATGATCCCAGAGTCCTGGGATCGAGCCCCGCATTGGGCTCTCTGCTCAGCAGGGAGCCTGGTTCCCCCTCTCTCTCTGCCTGCCTCTCTGCCTACTTGTGATCTCTGTCAAATAAATAAATAAAATCTTTAAAAAAAAAAAAAAAGGGTTATCCAGTTTGCCACAGACTTCTACTGCCTTACATCCAAGTAAGCTTCAAATCATCTGTCACCTGTCTCTGTAGATACATCCATGTGCTACCTCAGGTCTGGAAGTGTCAGGGAAGTGAAAAACACTAAAGTAAAGAATGCCACTCAGTAATATGGTAATATCGTTTCTTATTTCCGATGCCACCTTTAGCCCCCAAGGAACTGCTACCTGCTGGAACTGCTGTCCCCCAAGACAGGATGACAACACCAGCCGCTGCCACATTCCCTCCATTGCCTGCAACAGGACTCAGGGTGGGCACTCACTCAGTGACGGTGTCCTGGAACCAGACCCAGAGTTCTGCACCTGATGGGGCCTGCAGGAAAGGTGGCCCCCAGTACCGAGTCCTCCAGAAGCCTTGTGTGAATGACAAGTGCAGCTCTCGAAGAGAATACTTGGAGATCAACTGCCCCAGGGCTTTGGGAAACAGCCTATAATGAGACACTGGAAAAGGGGAGTAGGTGAGTGATGACCCTGGAGGGCGGGTTCTCAGCCACCCCAAAGCAGCAATAGACCCCGAGCTCTGAGGCCGGAGAAATCTGAATGCAGGACGAAACTGCCACTCACTAGCGATGTGATCGTGACCAAGTGCCTTTATCTGTCTACATCTCCAACTTCTTCCTCACAACCTCTTACAGAACTTAGCTCTGTGCCTAGCTCCCAGGCTAAATGGCAAAAGCCAACAGCATCATCATCCGAGTTGTTGACAAAGGGCTCTAACTAAAGGATGGGAGTGGCAGCCCAGACCTGAGGAAGAGCACCTGGTCTAGCAGTCTGGAGGAGTCCGTGCCCCCTCTCCGGGCCTTAGTTTCACCACCAGTACAATGGGGTTCTTCAATAACTATCCCATCTTCCCCAAAGAGCTAGTTTATCCAGCCCCGCGCTCAGGGGCCAGAACTCCCCTCGCCCAGGGACCAGGCTCCGCCCCCGGGATCCCGCCTCCACGTCCCCTCCCAGCAGGTGCCACAGCTGTCTTTGTCCAGTCTCATCCTCTCACCTTCTTCCCGCTGCAAATCGGAATCCCACCGTGTGCGGAACTGGAATGTGGCGGCTACGTCCCCAGATGGCAGCGGGGTGATAACAAGCTCCTCTCGCAGGGTGTCGCGTGGGGGCTCTGCATGGCCCCTGCCCCCCGGCCCCAGAAGCAGCAGCACGAGCACGGCCAGCGGCAAGGCCGCCGCCATGCCTGCGGCTGCTTCCGCCTCCCAGCGATGCCCGCCCCCACGAAGGCCGTCCTCCAATAGGAAGAACGTAAGAGAAATGACTTCCGGTGCTATCCCGGAAACCGGGGCGAGGTTACCAGAGAGGCGGCGGGGCTGGGTCCTTCAGGGCGGGTGGGTTTGAGGGGGCACGGAGGGTGGCGGACGTCTGGCACGACTGGGGGCTGGATTGAGGACCCCCCTCCCGACTTTGGGCTATTCGTGACAATTAGAATGTGCTTAATAATACAGAGCGCCGCCGCTGTGCCTATGTGATAGTTGAGGAAACAGACTGAAAAAGTCTTTGGGGAGGGTCACATGGCAGGGCCCCTGTATGCGGCTTCCTCAGCTTCTAGGCGTGTCCATTTGCCCAGTCCTAAATGGGGTGCAGAGCTTTCCTGTAAAACCCCCAAATAACTGGCCACTTTAGCATGAAATATGTCAAACATCAGCAAAGTTGGAAGAATGAACACCCGTTATAATGAACACCTATTTCCCCATCATAGACTCCTCCATTAACATTTTACTATACTGGCTTTATCACATTATGGTCTGTAAGTCCCTCAATTCCTCTTATGTTCTGATACATAAAGGTATCAGAACATAAGGTAAATTGCAGACATAATTACACTTCTCCCCTAAATATGTCGGCATGCATGTCACTAAATAAAGCTTAATGTTTGTTTACATTTTGGTGTAAAATTTACACACAATGAAATGCACAACTCTAAAGTGCACATTCACGGAGTCTGACAAAAGCATACACCTGTGTAAACCAAACTCCTATCAAGATTTAGAACATTCCTAAAACCCCAGAAAGTTGGTTAATGCCCATTGTCAGCCGATCCCTGGCCCCTCCTACCTTCCAGAGGGGATCACTATCGATTTTTCCGCACAAAATAATCTGTTCTAGGGGCGCCTGGGTGCCTCAGTGGGTTAAAACCTCTGCCTTCCGCTCGGGTCATGATCCCAGGGTCCTGGGATAGGCCCGCGTTGGGCTTTCTGCTTAGCGGGGAGCCTGCTTCCCCCCTCTCTCTCTGCTTGCCTCTGCCTGCTTGTGATCTCTGTCTGTCAAATAAATAAAATCTTAAAAAAAAAAATCTGTTCTAGAGGTTCATGTGAGTGAAACCATCATATAGAACGTGTATTTTCTTGTGTAAGAGTTCTTTCACAGGAGTAATGTTTCTGAGAATCATCCGTGTTCTCGCTTGGATCAGCCGTTTCTCTTTATTGCTATGTGGTTTCACATTGTAAGAATATACCTTAGTTTATCCATTCTCCTGATGATCAACACCTGAATTCTTTCAAGTCTTTATTTTGAAGTCGGTTGCTGTATACCTTATTGTCCGTTGTGTAAATAGGAGTGGTTAAAGGTCATAGATAATGTTTAACTTTTTGAGTAACTGCCAGATCTTTTCCCCAAATGTATCATTTTATACTTGCACCCACCATATATCAGAGTTTTGGTTGGTCCACATCCAGCTCAACTCTTGTTTTCAATTTGAGGGTACTTTTTAGCTTGAGCCATATGATATATGTAGTGGTATCTTACTGTGGTTTTATTTTGCATTTCCCTGGTACCTAATGATGCTGTGCATCTTTTCATATGCTTATTGGCCATACATTTATTTTCTCTTGTGAAGAGTTGAAATCTTTTTGTATCCCCCACGATTTATATTGGCTTGTTTGCCTTGTTACTGAGTTGGTGGAGTTGCGATGTTAAATTCCTGCTTTGGTTTTTCCAGCTGCCCTACGAGAAACACATTCATGAAGGATTTCACTCATCGTCTCTTGGTAAAACTCACAACCATACTTCTACAAAAGAGTCAAATTTGGTTTTGGACAGGTCTGCCGAGATATACCCCAACCAACCAAAGAGGAAGTGTCAAAAAGATGTCTTCCTGTCATTATGCCCTCATTCTACTTCCAACTAGTGTTCTTCTCCCACTCGACATGGAATAAAGGCCATGAGCTTAGATGTCAGAAAAAACCCCAGGCCAGCTTCTAATCCCCAGAAGCATGAGCAATCTGAGGATCACTTTTCTTCTGTAAAATGGATGAACCTCCTTTTAGCGTTGTTGTGAGGACTAGAAACTCATTTATATGTAGGACCTAGATTGTAGTAAGTACTTAATAATATTGACCATCATTGGCTCAAACAGTTCTTGGAGGTAGGGTCTGTGATCTCCATTTTGCAGACGGGAAAACAGGTACAGAAACTCAGATGTTGCCTAAGATCACAGTCTGTCATGAAGCCAGGACTAGAGTTTATTCCGTGGACCTCAAAAAAACTAAAACAAAAAATAAAAGAGGAGCTGTCATCATTATGATTATTTTATATTTCTATGCTTTGTCTTCTTTTGAAATTGCCTGTCCCCATCATTGAAGACCCAGTCGCCTCCAGACTTAGCTTCTCCCTTTGTACTGTTGTGCAGTTTTCTGTGCACTTCTGCTACAGCCCGTGTTCTCTTTCCGTTATCTGTGGCCACATCTGCTCCTGGTCACCTTTGTATTCCTGTTGCCTAAGCAAGGAAGCCAGCACAGACCAGGTGCTCAACAATGTGTGGATGAACAAGTCACAGCACAGTTCATACTGTCCCCACACTGCCATGCTGTTCCCAATGTCAGGTTCTGTGCATTCTTTAGGGACTACAGTGTGCACCTTCCAGGGAATCTTCTCCCAAGCTGTGGTCCCTCCTATTTCCTCCACAGATAGGATTCTAAGGGATGAGTCTGTCTTCTTCCCTCCTCCCCAGAGTCTGTGACAAGCCCGCAATAGCCACACTGTGGCTTGGAGGCTGAAAGCTGGGCTGCTTGCCTCGGAACTGGCTCCAGATCATCCTCTCCTCTCCAGGGGCACTGCGTGGCCTCAAGAAACAGTCAGCTGGAGCTGCTGGCTCTGAAGGCTGGCCAAGCCCCTGTGGTTTTGCAGAAGAAGAGATCATTGTCCAAGCAGGAAGTGGTCCTGGGGTCTCCGCTGACCCTAGACTTTTCCAGGCAGGGCTGGGGCTCATGGCAGCTGACCTGGAAGCTCCCCAGAGGCTCACACACAATTCTGCTTCTCCAGACAACTGGAGATCCCTGTCCCCAGGCAGGCACCCTGCCCCAAACCTCACAGATCTTAGCATCACGTGCCTGGAGTACTAAGAGATTTGTCGACATATTGACAGCAACCAAGCTAGTCTAGCTTCCCGTCATTTGCCTTGGAGGGGAACAGGGTGATCCTGGGAGCTGAGAAGCCCCGTAGAGCAGAGTCACAGACTTCACAGGCTGCAGCCCAGGGAAGGCTCAGCCACAGTCAGACAGGTGGTTGAGCTTTGCTACTCCAAAGGCAGGGAGAAGGCACAAGGACAGGGCCATGTCTTTTATGTGCAGCAAAATCATAGGCAACTCAGAAAAACTGCAAAACTTCACACGAGACTGAGCCCCGGCCCAGTTTAGTAGATGATCTCAACTTGGACACAGAGGCTTTTAGACAAAAGGAGCACAAAACTCCCACAAGTTTCTCACCAGCGCTAGGAAAAGCACTTCAGAGCTGTCACTTACAATGGCCTCCTACAGGGGTGGAAGCAGGCTGGGACTATGGGAAGACTGCAGGCCCGTCACTCACTCAGCCTGGGTGGCACAAAGAACTTTGGGATTTAGGCTGAAGGCCACCGATCCCATGGGTTGTGTTTGATGTACAAAGGGAGGTGGAATGGTTTCTTTCTTCTGATGTGAGAAATGACTAGATGCCCTTACAGGCTGAGTCCTAGAACCCTCCTTTCTCCTTCCACTCCCCCTCCCTCCCTGGGCACGCACACTCTCTCACTTACCACCTACACACTGGTTGCTCCCATCTACTTATTTTCTCAGCCTAATCCTCTCTAAATCCAACACTCCGAGTGCCCGCCCAATGTGTCTTCCTGCAGGTCTCAGAAGTACCTCCAGCTCACCATGGCCAAAACCAAATTTGCGACCTTCTTCCAAGACCTGGCTCTGCCCTGCACTCCCCATCTGGGAGAACGACTCTCCACATCATCCTGTTGCACAAGGGAGAAAAAATGGTGGCACCCTGACCTCTTCCTCTCACCTACCTGTCAAATCTTTTGGAACCTGTCCCCTAAATCTCTCTCTTCATTCCTTCCACCTTTCTACAACCCGTCCACCTCTGTGCAAGTCCATTATCCCGCTATGTAGCTGGCTGCCATCCACTCCTGGTTCCCAGGCATCCAGGCTGCTGCTCTCCAGTCAGCACTCCATGAGGAGCCTCCCCCCTCCCCTCTGCCTCCCTCACTCCCCTTCCTTGACTCCTTCTTATCCTTCAGGGCTCATCTCAGATGCTATTTTCTCAAGGGAAATGCCCCATGACTCCTCTTAATAGGTTATTAATTCCTTCCTCGCACTGGTCAGAGTTGCAGTTTTGCACTTGGACCCCCACTAGACTCGACTCCCATAAAGGCGGCACTTTTTTTTCCACTCTACATTCCTCACTCTGTGTCTTACAGATGTTTAACACTGACATTTAATTTAATAAATATTTATAGAATGAATGTCATTTATTTTTTATAGCCTGCCTCAACCCAGTCAAGCTGATCATTACCATTATCTCTCGCACAGGAGTATTGTGTTAGGTGTCTGCCCTGAGCTTGTCCTCCTCCAGCGTATTCCCTACACTGTGGCCAGAATTACCTTTTTAACAAGCAAATGCAACCACCTGTAGTCCTTCATTAGTTCCCATAAAGTTCAGATTCATTAACATGGCCTCTAACATGTAAAGTGCCAGTTACCTATCCAAAGACTATTGTCCTTTTGTTCCTTAGAAACATAACCCTGATTTTTATCAAAACAGCAGCATGCTCTATTAAAGGCCCATCCCGACCTCTCCAGTAGCCACGGTGCTTCTGAGAGGTGTGAAAGGTCAGAAATCAGATGCACTGACTCAAAAAGCTTATTGTCTTTCCAAAGGCCAGAATTTTCTTTCTTCCAGGTAATGTTGTGTCCCTGTGTCTATAAAACATCTGTGAGACGTTGCTCACATTAGCAAGCTCTGGTCAGTGGGATGAAAGTGGACGCTACTGGTTAGAACTTCCAAGGACACGTCCTGAAGTGGACATCGACAGCAGGCTGTGCTTTGCCCGTCCCCAGTTTCTCTCCCACTTTCTTCCGTTTCAAGGACATGATGGGCAAAGCTTCAACAGCCATCTCAAACAGGAGCCGTCAATGGGAATTCGAGCCCTGTGGCTGGGACGGCTGAGCAAAAAGAGCCAAAAAGGACCTCAGAGCAGCCATGTAGCCCTGAACTTTGGACTTCTTTAATATGAGGAAATAAATTAAGCCTCTGACCTTTTACTAGCAGCCAAATTGAAACTTGATATAGGCTTCCAAGTATTTCAGGAGTAACCTTGGTCAGTGTCCCCTCTCTCACCTACCTCTTGTCCCCAGTTGCAACAGTGCAGCCCCGCTGAACGTCTCTCAGTTCCTCAGAGCTATTTCTCTCCCTTTACCGTCTGCCCAGGCTGCTCTTTCTGCTGGGATTACAGCCCCCACTTGGCAAACTCCTACTCAGTCTCTGGATCTCAGCTTAAAAATCAGCTCTTCGGTGACCACATGAGCTATTTTCTGATACCAGAGTTGTTCTTCATCATGCTACTGATTAGCCCGTGAACCGTGACGTTTACTTGGTTTTCTCCGCCAGAGAGAGAGTCAGGTACTGAAGGCAGGGGTGCAGATTGTCTTGTTCAGAACTGTTTTCCGGGGCGCCTGGGTGGCTCCATGGGTTAAAGCCCCTGCCTTCAGCTCAGGTCATGACCCCAGGGTCCTGGGATTGAGCCCCGCATCGGGCTCTCTGCTCAGCAGGGAGCCTGCCTCCCCGCCTCTCTCCACCTGCCTCTGCCTACTTGTGATCTCTCTCTCTGTCGAATAAATGGATAAAATCTTAAAAAAAAAAAAAAAAAAACTATTTTCCAAATCCCTGGCACACATATTCAAGAACTATTTCTTGAAGAGATGGAGGGATGGTGTTGGTTACACAGAGTGGGTCTGAGATCTCTGCAACGTGACACATGAAGGGGAGTGGTTGGTGGATTATTTTTTATTATTTATACTGTGCCCTTTTCCCAAACAGGATGTGGGGGAGCAGGACAGCTGGAGTACCACTACTCAGGGCGTGCTAAGGAGCTCACGTCCACTTAGAGACACTGGTTTAGGAGACACTATCAGAAGATGGCAGGATAGTGTGGGGGAGGGAGGGGTGCGAGGGAAAGCAGTAGCATCTTGTCCTGCCTCATCTCCCATCTCCTCGCCTGTAAGCCCTACCTCAGGGGGAAGCCAAAAACTGGTGGGAGGGTTGTAGCAGGAAAGGTTAGCAGTAAAGCAGGACGGTTAATTCCCAGAGAGTGCATTATCCCACTGTCCTTGCCTCCCCCTGGTGCCTACTGCAAGTAAAGAGTCTGGTCTTCTCTGAAGGGCTCTGGCTGGGCCTATGGTCTCCTGTGGAGAAGAGCCGGTTCGGTCAGTCTGTACATGGAGGCCCACCGCTAGCTGCAAGCTCCAGGCTCTGCCCCTCCATCAGCCCCATCCTCTTCCTCATCAGACTGTGCCAAGGGCGTGTCTGCCCCGCCGTCACTGGGATTTGGGCTGTGCAGGTTGGTGGAGTCGTCAGAAGATGATGAGGACGTGCGGGATGCAGTCCTGTCTGGCGTCGGCATTGGAAGGCTCAACTCCTCTGGGTGCTCATCCAGCCCTGCCCAGAAAGAAGAGTTGGTCAGGGCCACAAATGGGGCTTCAGGGCACTCTCAGAGATGGTCTGGCCAGGAGAGGCTGAAGCCCAGAGAAGGGCAGGGGAGTGACCAGCCACTGAGCCAGTCCACAAAGAGCCAGGTCTCTGGACTCCCAGTTCCTTCTACTTCACTACACCATGTCTGGGCCCTAGAGTCAGGTCGATCAATCCGAGTTCAAGCTCTACCTATGTCACCTACTTGCTACCCAGGGGCTATGAGCAAGTCATTCTCCCCCTCAAAGACCGAATCTTCTCTAAAAATGTGATATGCACCTATATTCCAGAAGAGTTTTGAGGATAAAATCGAAGAATGAGTATAGAATATCTGGCATGCAATAGGCCATCTATAAAGAGCAGCAGTTTAAATAAGAGAATATCTATCTTACAGGCTCAACAGATGGGCTTCGGACTGACACAGCCACGGTGTGAACCCAGCTTTTCCATTTTCTGGCTGTGTGACAACGTCTGAGTCTAATTTCCTCCTTTATAAAATCGGGGTAATACCACCTAATAGGACATTGTAAGGGTTGAGCTAATGGACCACTGTATTAGCAACCTAAAAAAAAAAAAAGTGCTCAGTAAATACTCATAAAAGATGACTAAAATGGCTTAAGTTATCTAATATAAATATTTATATTTTATGAATATTTATATTATATAATATAAATATTATATATATTTATATTTTATATTTATATATATTATATATATTATATATTTATATATTTTATATATATGTTTATAATATAAATATAATATAAATATTTATATTTTATATTATTTTAATGACATGAATTAATCAGATTAATTTCACAAATGCAAAATTAACAAAGCCTAAATGGGGCTGGGGCATTCCCAGAAATTTTAGGTTGGAAATCTGTCACCCAGTTCCCCTCGGGATCGACTTCCCTAAAATCAGAATAGACAGCTGTTTCACTGGTAGAAACACACATTTCAGGGCACCTGGGTGGCTCACTGGGTTAAAGCCTCTGCCTTCGGCTCAGGTCATGATCCCAGGGTCCGGGGATCGAGCCCCGCATCCGGCTCTCTGTTCAGCAGGGAACCTGCTTACCTTCCTCTCTCTCTCCCTGCCTCTCTGCCTACTTGTGATCTCTGTCTATCAAATAAATAAATAAAATCTTAAAAAAAAAATAAGAAAGAAAGAAAAATACATTTCCAGACCCTACGAGTACACTTCCCCAGCCCTGCCTTGCAGCCTCACTCCAGAGCCTGCCACCCGGTTCTGGCTAACTGGAGCCCAAGTCCTCAAAGCCAAGGGCCATACCAGATGTCTGGGAGGCTGGTGGAGGGTCCTCACAAGGCAAGAACACATCTGCTCCATCCTGGTCTCCAAGGTCAATAAATTCTACCTGCTCCAGGGCATCCACGTTCACTTCCATGGAGGAGATACTACCTATGGGGGCTGTAGATCAAGAAGGGGACAAGTCAGGAGGAGGCAGGCCAGAACCCCTCGGAGGGTCAAAGATATATGTCAGGTCCAGAGACAGGAGTCTCGAGGGCCGAAAAAACAAAGGAAAGAGGTTCCCAGGATTCAGGACCTATGAGACCTATCCCCCCACTCCACCCCAGTCCCTCTCCCCAGGACTCAGAGCTTACGTCTCTGCGACTCGAGGTGCAGGTGGGACAGGGGGAAGACAAACTCTGTCTCCGGCTGTAAAATTTCCTCAAAGAATTTCTGCCGCTCCCGAAGGCGGAGCTGCTGGCGCTCCAGGGCTGCCCGAGGATTTGGGTCCATGTCAGCTCCTGGAAGGTGGAAGAGCACGTACAGCTATGAAGTTGAGCGGGAATACAACGGGAGCCTGGGCTCGGGGAACCCCTCTACAGCCACCATCCCGGCGTGGCAGCCTGGACGCCACCGCACTTGACCACCTCCTTCCCCCCCTTAAAAGAAAGTCTCAGAGAGAGGCAGGGCTGAGCCTGGCCCCACAAAGGGGATGCTGGTTCCAGGCACGGCAGAAGAAGCTCCTCTGTATTCAGGGAACGGGCCAACAGCCAAGTCTCACTATCACGGCCTTGTGAGAGGGGTTGGAGGGATTGGTCCAGCCTCAAAGAGGGAGGCACTTCCAACAGACCCAGCCTCCCCTCAGAAGGCCATGTAAGACAGTCAGATGGGGATCTCAGGGTGCTCAAGTGTTGCAACTCTGGTTCATGCCCAGCCTTCCAAACCCAAAGACTAAAGCAGCCCCTCTCCCGCCCACATCCCATCACCACCATCCCCTCCAAACCCTGCTCTGAAGTCACAGACCTGACTTCCAGACTCAGCTCTGCCCCTAAGGAAATCATCTTTCCAGCCTCAGTCTTCCCATCCGAAAATGACTTAATAGTCCTACCTGCCTCAAACACAACCCAGCAGTTGCTGGAGCAGGTGCTCCGTAAAATGTAAAGCCCGGACACTGTGCTCTTCCGAGCCGGCCCCCCACCCCCATCTCTTTCTTCTCCCTACTCCCCAGCCCTTTATTTGAGCACCTCTCTCCCCTGACACATCTCAGGCTTCTATCCCCATTAGTCAGTGAGTAGCAATTGGAAGGGCGGGTCCCGGGTCCAATTTAGACCAGGCCCCCGGGGTCCCCATTGCGGAGAGCTTTCCAGAACACCAGAGCTCTGCGCCAGCCGAGGCCCTATACATTCACTCGAATTCACTCCATCTCCTTCCGGCGGCGCGCTCTAAGCCCATCACCGGAGACAAGGGAGCATCTGGCTTGAGGACCAGCTTGTCATCCTCTTTAGCCTGCCTCCCTCGATTCCTGGGACCCAGTGTCGGAGACTCCGGCCCGCGCCACAAGGCGCTGCTGCGGACGGCGAGGGATTCAAACCCAACTGGGCCAGCCAGGGCCAAAGACAGTGTGCTGAGACCGGGTGGCCGCCGGCTGGCAGCGCGGGGGAGGGAGGCGCTGACGCCGATTCCTGGGAAAGGCTCTCCGAGCTGCCGCCCAGGTCACAGCGCTAAAAATACCCGGGGCCCCTGGGGCCGTCTGCTCCAGCGGCCCGGAGGGGGAGGGAGAGGACGAGGGTGGGGGCACCCACGGGCCGGGGGTGCCAGGACGCCCCCTCTCCCCCTCCCCCTAACCCCATCCATCTCCCGAGACCTGAGGGGCTGTCCCCAGGAGGTAGCAGAGCCAGGGTCGGGGAGAGGAAGGGAGTTGTTTACGCGACGAAAGGCGCTGGAAGAAGGGAGACGAGGTCTAGGGAGCCCGGGGAGCCCCACAAATGCAGAGCGCCCTGCCAGTCTCCGCCCCACCCGCCCTGGAGTCCACGGGAGCGAGAAAATTCCCTAAAAAGGGCCGGGGCGCGCCCGCGGCCGGGGGAGGAGGCAGCCGAGGGCTCCCGGGCTTTCGGCTGGTGCGGCAGGCCCCCGGCCCTGGTCCGCCCGCCGCCTCTGCGCCCCCGCCGCCGAGCCCCTACCTGCAGCGCCCCGCGCCCCCGCTGCCTCGGTCGCTCGGCTCCGGCTAGACGGCGGCGGGGGCGTGGGAGCGAGCCGCGCCGGCCGGGGTGGGGCTGCGCCGCCGGGGCTCCCGCGGGACGGCCTGGCCCTGGGAGCCGGGAACGAGGAAGCCGCGGGCGGCGGAAGTGGGGGAGGGGCGGCGGCGGGCACCCGCGCTCGCCTCCCTCCCGGCGGCCTCGGGGAGCCCCCTCCGGCGCGGCCGCTCGCACTTCCAGGCCGGGCGAAAAGTTCCCGGCGCGCATCGTTGCCCCGCAGCTGGCCGCGCGCGTCCGCACTCCGCCCGCCGCCGGGGCGCTCGGCTCCGCACGCTCAGATCCACTTGCTGCCCCGCGCTCAGCCGCGCAGCCCCGCCGCGGGGATACGCGCGGGTTCTCGACCCACGCGCACTTGCTGCTCGCGACTCCCGGGCAACCCCGCGACAAAGCACCCGCACCCACACCCTGGGCGAGAAGGCGCGGCGGGGAAGGGGACCCGCTGGAGCGGGGAGGGCACTGACCCGGTGCCGCCCATCAGGACAGGTGCGCCGCGGCAGAGGGCCCGCCTGACCCTGGGACTCACCCGGCAGCCCCGGGTTCTGGCTCCGGGACCGCACCGAACCGCCGCCCAGCCTTCCAGTGCGCTGGGCGGGGTGGGCGCCCGGACGGGGCGGGTCAGGGCTGCAGGGGTGGGCCGCCGCGCCGCACCCCGAGACGCCGGCGTGGAGCCAAGTCCTCCAGGGCGCGAACAGGGGCGCAGCGCGTCCAGGGTGGAGGGGGTGGAGGGGCGAGGTGCTGACTGCGGGCAGACAGAGGAAACTCTTGCCCGCCTCTCCGCGCCTCCTGCTCAAACCAGAGCCAGAAGTGTCTAATCTGGCAGCTACTGCACGGAGATTCTGTACCCATTCTTCTTCTCCTCCCTCCCACCCATCCACTTGTGCTCACAGCTCCAGAAGCCGCGGGAACAGGACGGGGTCGGGGGTTTCTGTCGGGAATACTTCCATGGGGTCATTCGTTCATTCACTCAACAAGCATCCGCGAGCAAGCCAGAATTCCTCCTTAGCACTTCCCTGTCCTGTGCTAAATACTCCTCCATTCCTTGTCGATTCTCTGCCCTAAATAACTTTTCAATCCACCATTCCTCGCCGCTTCCACTACCCTCTCTCCCTTGGCTCCTCCCGTAGCCTTCGATCTGGGTTTCCCGTACTCGCTCTGGCCCTGCTACATTCTATCCCTCTCCCCTCCCCTCTTCTCCCCGCAACACACAGCAGTCAGTCACCATTTCAAAACCAAGTCTGCGTTCAAAACGCCACCCCCTGCTTAAATCCCTCCATTGTTAGAATAAAAATCTAAGTGCTGATATCTGAGCCGAGTCTTCAAGAAATGAGTTCAACAAGCAGAGAAGGGGTGGGGGGATGGGAATGTGCAAAGGGATGGAGCCATGACACATGCCAGTTTCCCTGTCAGGGGAATTTGTCAGCCCTGTACAAATAGCCAAAGCACTGCTTCTTCTATTGTTAGTGGATCTCAAAACAACCCTGTGAGAGAAATACAGCAAGCAGCGTTCCCACTATTTTACAAGCAAAAAGTTTGGTTTGTGGGAGGCAAGTGGTTAAGAGCACGGGCGTGGTAGTCTGAACCTAGCTCTGCATCTAGCCAGCTGTGTAAACACTTAATTTCTCTGTTCCTTGATTTCCTTACTTATTAGGTAGGAATAATTAATCCCTACCACTTATGAGATAATTCATATAAAATGCTTAGTACAGGATGTGGGTACTTTGGAGATGCTCAATAAACATTAGGCGTTTCGATTGTAATGGGTTCTGAGAAAGGGAGGAAAGTGTTTTCTTCTGTGAATTTCTGAAATTATAGGAAGTACACCCTAATAGTTAGTACTTCTAAGAGTTTGTTGAATATCTGTTGCTATTATAAGTGCTTTGCATATATTAACTCTTTTGATCATCTTAACAGTCTTGTGAGGCAAATACTATTATGATCTCCATTTGACAGATCCAGAAACTGACAGACGGAGAGGTGAAGGGACTTGTCCAAGGCCATACAGCAAATAAGTGATGGAATTCAAATCCACATAGGCTGCTTCCAGAGGCTGTGCTTGTAACCACTGCTCCCTGCCTGTTCCCCTTCTGTCCTGTTGCAGTTTTCATCTCCCAAGAAATGTTTTAGTCAGTTGGATTCTTATTCCTCATTAATGGATGAAGTAGATTCTTGGTCCCACTTCCTAGCACAGAGGAATGAGGCCAGCTCGGTAGTATGGTGGGTGAGAGCTCAGCAACCAAAGCCACTTCCTCTCCCCGTTCCGGGCTTATCCCTAGGAACAGAACTCCAAGGATTGTTTTGACCTGTCTTCAAGATGGTGACAGATTTGGAACCTCCATCCCTTCTCTTTGTCTGATAGTTGCCACATGAAGGGGTAGAAAGGGAAAAGCATCCAAGCTAGAGATAATTCAGGGGGCTAAGCTGGAAGGGCATCAGGCAAGAGAAAGACCCAGGTAGCAGCCTCAGGAAGCAGCCTCAGGAGCAGATGGTAAAGGAAGTGGAGGGAGCCATGGAAAAGTAGATGGTTGAGACTTCTGGCTTCCATCCAGGATGCAGAAAGCTGGGAAGAGTATCATTGCCACACTAATCACAATTTTTAAAAATTGTTAGGTAGTCTATAAAATTACAACTTTCGTCAAACCCATCAGAGAGCTGAGGCTGCAGAGCAACCAATTAACCTGAATTCCAAAGGAGGACAGGAGCCTCCAAGAAGAAATGGGATGCAGGCACTGGCACACTTGTGAGGTGGGAGGAAGACGGGGCCTTGGTGCAGAAGGGTAAGAAAAGTTCATTTCCTTATGTAAATCCAGGTTTCTCTCTGGTATCACATTTTTTCTACCTCCAGAAAGATCTACATAAAGAAGTAAAGATCTCTGGAAATGAACGGAATAAAGGTAAACAGAAGAGACAGTTTTCTGTTTTTAATCACGTTGTAAGACAACTGACTATCTAAAGCAAAAGAGTGGCCACACACTACTCTTTTGCATTAGAAGTCACGGGGATGGAAAGTGCAGCACTGGGAATATAGTCAATAACTTTGTGTGGTGACAGATGGTAAGTACTTTTATTGTGGTGAGCAGTTTGTAATGTATATAACTGTCGAATGACTATGTTGTACATCTGAAACTAATGTAAAATTGTGTATCACTACACTTCAATTTTAAAAAGTAGCAATAGGTTGTGGATAGATAGCATACACTAAAGTAAAATGTATAACAATAACAATAAAATGATGGGATAAGTAACTGGAAATAGACTGTTAAAGGGTCCTCTGCTATGTAAGAAGTGGTAATAACATTATTTGAATATTGACTTTGATTAATTGAAGATATATAGTAAATGCAAGGGCAACCACTAAAATTTTTTTTAAAGAAGTATAAATAACAGGCCAATATGGAGGCAAAGTGGGATAATAAAAATATGGGGAGGCATTCTCCCTGAGCCTTTTTTTTTTTTTTTAAGATCTTGTTTATTATTTGACAGACAGAGATCACTAGTAGGCAGAGGGGCAGGCAGAGAGAGAGAGGGAAGCAGGCTCCTTGCTGAGCAGGGAGCCCGATACGGGGCTCAATCCCAGGACCCTGGGATCATGACCTGAGCCAAAGGCAGAGGCTTTAACCCACTGAGCCACCCAGGCGCCCCTCCCTGAGCCTTTTTGTATTCAATGTGTCTTGCTGACTATGTCAAGATTGCAAGGATCTGACTTCTCTTTCACCTGGGCCCTTGCCCAGGAAGCTGATTGTTTATAGAGCTTGAGAGATCAGATCATGTCTTTCTCAAATCAAGGCAGGCTTGCTTACTGCTCGTTATAAAAGTTCTGGGTCTGGCTCCTCAGCCAGAGTGTAAACCCACTGTGTCTGTCTTGTGCATCTGGGACCACCATATCAGTTGTCGGACTTGGGGCCAAAGGAACCAATGAACACACAACTGTGCCGCTGTTCATGTTACTTGGTGTGCTATGAGTAATCAACTGTTTCAATCAAATGCAATAAGTCTTATTATCTATTTTTGGTACCCAACAGATGGATGTTTTTCCCTGAAAAAAATGTAATTATTCCAAAGTAAGGAAGAAAAAGAGAAAAAGTGAGGGAAAAAAAAAGATGTTAACTATAAAACAAATAACAGGATATATGTTTTTAATCCAACTGTCAATGAAAGACAACCAGTTAAAAGACAGACTAGTAGAGTGGGAAGTAAAGCAAAAGGCAATAATGTACTGTCTACAAGAAACCCAATTTAACTATATAGAAATATATGGGTTAAAAGTAAATGAATGGAGGGGTGCCTGGGTGGCTCAGTGGGCTAAAGCCTCTGCTTTCAGCTCAGATCATGATCTCAGGGTCCTGGGACCTGAGACCCACATTGGGCTCTCTGCTCAGCGGGGAGCCTGCTTCCCTCTCTCTCTCTGCCTGCCTCTCTGCCTACTTGTGATCTCTGTCTGTCAAATAAATAAATTAATTTTTTTAAAAAAGTAAATGAGTGGAATGATATATACCATACCAACAGTAATCAAAGTAAATTGGAGTGGCAATATTAATACCAGACAAATGTAAACTTCAAAAAGACTATTACCAACGATGAAGAGGGATATTCATAACAATAAAAGGTTCAATTCACCAAGAAGACTCCACTATTATAAATGTGACTACATCTAATAACAGAGTTTCAAAAATAGATGAAGTAAAAACCAATAGACCTAAAATAGAAAGAGAAAAATCTATATTTCAGTTAGAGAATTCAATACTGCTCTCTCAGTAATCAATATAACAAGTGGGCAGGACAAAGAAGGGAGCATAATAGGAAGCCTGAACACTATCAACTGACTTGTTCCAACCGACACTTTTAGAACACTTTACCAACAACAGTAAACATTCTTTTCAACTGCACATAAAACATTCACCAAGATCCATCATGGTTTAGGCTACAAAACAAACCTCAACACATTTAAAAGAGTTTAAGTCATATAAAATGTTGATATGACTATACAAGAATTGAAATATAACTACATAACTAATAAAGATACCTGGGAAACACCCCCAATACTTGGAAATAAAATGCAACAC